AGATGAGGTCTCCTTCTTTTGGGGAGACTGAGAGGATAAGGCCTCCTTTTTCCTATGCAAGAAAAGTCTGGTGTTAAGATAGCAGGGGCCATGATCTCTTCTTAGTAAGTATGCCATGGGGCTGGTGTAGTTCAAAGAAAACAAAATTTTTAAAAAATCTTTAGCTCTCTCATTATGAAACTTCTTTTTGCAAAGTATTCTACACCCTCAAACCCAATTAATAGCATTCAACTCATCCAAAATTCACTTAGCGTTTGGAAACACAGAATCTGTTACATGTTTTAAGGGCATCATCCTGCATTTCAGACTTCAAAATAAGCTTATTCTAAGAAAAGAAAGGCTTCCTAGTCTAATATAAATTGAAATCATATACACTCTTTCTAATGCCATGAAAAACACTTTGCAGCTGTAAGCTGTTCTTGAAGGACAGAAAATTGTGATTCAGCATGTTAGTGCTTACAAACCAAAAATTTAAATGAACGCAGATTGATTACTGGGTAATGAGTACTGATAGAAGCTGAAGCAAGTCCAAAACATTGGCTTTGTTGCTAGCTGGCTAACTCTTCTATTGGAAAAAGTTTCACATCAAGGGAAATTTCAGTCTTGTGGAACACAAAACAAAAAAAGGTTTGAAATGTCCAACTTTCCTGGAGAATAGAAATTCCACTGTGCTCACCAGCCCTTCCCCAACCTGTGAAAACTGAGACAAGAAGAAGGTTACAGAAAGAATTTACAGTGTATTAACATAAGAAAATATTAACACTTGAAAAAGCAGCAGTATTCCCTTAGTTTTCTTGGTAACTGCGTGCCCTGTTAGACCAGTCATACTCTGAAATGTGTTTAATTTCTGGCTTATGGCATGTCTTTGTCCCAAAGCTTCAGATGTCCCACACAAGTGTAGTTCTCCTTTAACTTTATAGCTGTGGCTCTAATGCAAATCATCATTTTCCATTGTAGAACAGCTGGAGGGTTTTGACATTTTAATGGTGTGCAGATAGTTTTTGCTCTGAAGCCTTACCATACACCAAACTCTGTCTAGGTGACACTGATTGGTTCTGAACACTGTCTGCTGCCATCTTTGTCAGTGGAAAGGCTCAGTGTCTTCAGCTCCAGTTTTCCTTGAAGCTGTTCACTAAAATGTACCTGTTCCAAGGAAATGTCTCAGTCTCCTGAGACATTTCAGATATAGATGACATTTCAGTGTGTTTGTGCTCAAGTGATGAAATATTTAAGTGTGCAATTTTCTGTTTCTCTCTGGTTTGGCTTTTGGAGATAAATTAGAGCCAGGTGCACAGCTCAAGCCTTGCTTGAACTTTGATTCTTTGCTGGTCAGGTGGTATAAATGGCTTGCCTTTTTCTTAAAACCCCAAAGGTCAATGAGGTTTTAATTCGCTCAGGTGGTGCTTCAAAGAACTCATTATTTTATACAGATAATTCTAAATAGCTGTATATGATATTTCCACTACCAGAACTTCCATATTTCTGTTAAAGTTTGAATGTAGCACACCAGTGAACCTAAATGTCTCAGAACTTTTTTTTTTAGCCTTAGAATAAGTGTGTCTAAAAATGAAATGGCACTAACCATTTCAGTATCATGTAATATGCATAACAAACCCACTAAACTGAAAAAAGCAGAGTTATGTTTTGAAGGACATTTGATTTCCAAAAGAACAAAACAAAGTCTAAGCTTTGACAACAAGCTGGGGGACAAAAGAAACCAAAGTCATCGAGGAGAAGTACCTAATCATCGTGTCAGCTTGACATTCTCGATTGTAGGATGGAACTTTTTTTCTGTAATCTGTTTTGAAAACCATGAAATAGTCGATAGCAAATGTTAATTTCTCAAGATGTGTGAACCCTCTAAAAAAACCAAGTACCATGGACCCGGTTTGCATGGTGTTGACCTGAATAAAGGGATAATGTGCTTAAGCAGCTTATTCATTCTTCAGTGCCCTTTGGAAAGGGAGCGGCTCCACAATGGTTTGCCACTCAGGGCTCAGACGTGACCACTGTTCTTTTCACTTTCTGAATGTTTCATTCTTTTGTCTCCACCCAGGGTTTCTTCGTACGTTGTTCCAAACAAGGCTCTAAAGGAACTTTTTGGGGCTATTTCTTGTCAAACTGTAACGTTTGTTAAGCAAAATGCACTGAGCTGTAAAGGAATTTTGAACTCTTGAGTATATAGCTGGCCAAGCTTTTCATCAGTGATGTGTCCCTGAATTAATTGTTTCTACTTGTGAGACTTCCCAGGCTAGAGGTTTAAACATACTCCAGAAACTCTGTAATAATTGTTTTAAATACTCCACATTAAATTTCAGCATCAAAGTTATGTGAATAAACTCAAGCTGTGGTCTTACGAAGGGAGCTGCTTTGAAGTTCTGAGTTTTAGTGTTGACTATAGATTTAAATGCTCACAGACACGAGAGATGCAAAAAGAAAGTAGCAAAAGGAGCGTAAGAGCCTATGTTTCAAAGCTGACCCATGTCTTGTTTAACACTTTCTGAGCAGAGTAACTGTAATGCCTGTTTCTCTTGAACTTTCACAGAATCACTGCCCATCTGATCTGGCTTCTTGAAGGAATCAGCCTGACAGTCTGGCTGCAAAGTGCTGTGGAAACATCTTCAGAATTTAAAAAATAAAGGGACTAAAGATTTTTTTTTTTATTTCATTTTAAACATTGTTTTACAAAATGAGAAAAAAAAAATGAGAGAACTGACATCGCTTAATAAAAAACTTGTGGAAGCTCTTAGAAAAGAGCAAATCAATTTAGGAAGAAGAATTATGGGAGCTGGAAAGGGATTAAGGTATTTACAGTGAATTGGACAGTGGAACATGCAGTATGTTTGCACAGGACATGAACTGGCATGGAAAGCTGGGGCAATGGGATTTTAGAAATGAAATGTCTGTTTCTGAGTCCTACTGGGATGTTCTTGTCAGAGGCTCCTGGGGCTTGGCAGTTTTTTCCAACTTTGTGTGCTCAGTCTGGTCGGAAGCAATGGGCTCTCCAAATTTACCTGAAGTTTACACATTGCTAAACAGTTCATTTACATTTCCTGTGAATTTATCTCCCAGAGATAAAAAATTATCCTTGATGTTTCAGATTTTCCTGAGATCATTTTAAATAACTAGGCAAACTCAAAATCAAAATGAAAAACTAATTCCAGAAATAGTTATTGACAACAAAGTTTGAAATGATTATATAAGAAAAGAAGACTGTACAAAAGGGTCAATTACTTAGAAAGATATCAGATCAAATTCTTGCCTGCATTTTCCCTGCAGTATCTGAATTTGATTTTGCTACTAGAATACTTACAATAATGTAAATTTTCAGGTAAAGTTATTTCAGAAAAAAAATATACTACTTAAGCATGAATGCTACAATGAGTTGGTGAAGGGAATAAATAAAGCACAGAGTACTGACTTCACCTTCATTTACAAAGTAATTTTAATGTTGAGCTTTATTAATTGTCAATTCAAAAAGTTGAATTAATAACTTCTGAAAAGCTGTAAGTAACATGTTAGAAACTGTTTTGAATTGGTGATGAATTTAGCAATGGTTTCAGAAAATTCCGCTTTTAAGCCGGCTTGATGTTTAATAACATTCTAATCCTATATCTTTACTTTTTTGTGGAAGTGAAGAGAAAAGTGAGGGAGAGACAAACATTTCTATCAAACCTGTAGGTCTGGGTCAGGGTACCTTCAGGGGATGCAGAATACTACCAGAGGTTTTAAGTTTCATACTGATTCAAATCAATCTTTATTGGGACTTCTGACCCAGAAGATTTTTCAGTTCTGCAATATAGAAAAGCTGGGAGTGCAGTTTAGGCATTTCTCTAAAATCTCATTTCTGATTCTCTGGCTGAGGCAGGCTGGGAAAGCTTTCCAGCCTTTTTGCTTCATGTTGCGTGCTGAAGGCTTTCTCTTGGAAGGAGGGGCTGTCTGTATTTTTCTTTACAATGTTTTTCTAGTTTAAGTTGGTGTGCAACAAATTTCTGCAGCTGTTGTTGGGTTTCCAAATTGATTTTGAATGAAAAATGTTTAGTCCAGCTTCTGACCGATTCTGCGATCTGTTTGGGCATGTGTAGGAGCATTGCACACTACCTACATTGGCAAAATTAGCTTATTCATTCTCAGAGGCATGGGAGAAATAATATCAGAGTGTATCTGAGTTTCTGGGAGAACCAGTGAAAGTATGAGTTCACTGGGGAATTGCGGTAGCTGAAGTGGATTGTCAAAAGCGATTGCAAAACACTTTATGCACATTTTGTAATTTGTAAGTTATAATTTGGAAATATATCAGACCAAACCAGGACCTTCTAGTAGTGAAAACATGGAATAATTCAGGCTTGGTGTTTTTATGGACCTGGGAGAAAGTCTGTATCATAAATCTAAAGAAAGAAAAAGTACAAGATATAAACATAGGCAAATTCAGAAATCTTATCCAACTAATAGAACATGGATAATTGAAATGGAGAATGCTGTAATCAAACTGATAACCTAAAAAGCATGGAAGGAAAAGTTCAAAGGCTTGTTTATATTTTGGCATATTGAATTTTAGAAAGCAGCACACTTTCCAAGCATCAGCTCATCAACAGAGTTGAAATGATGGGCTCTGGGAGAGATTGTGGAACATGATGATGGAAGTAAAGACAATGCCTTTTTTGAAATGTCAGCACACAGTCAGGATATAAAGGAAAAATATAAAAGTACCAACTAAAACATTAAAAGATACTTTTGAAACCTGACTTCCTAGAGTAAACTTTTTCACTTGGAAGCTATACGCTTCCTTTGAGACGAAGGTATCCCTTTTCTTAGATACAAAACAGTGTTTCTTTAATCTCTTTATGTTTCTTCAGTTTTATGTAGACATGGGTAAGTGGATTTGTACTTCATATGCTTGGGTTAATCTTCAAACACTGTATTGTTCTCCCCTTCTTATTAAATAAGAGTGTAGTATTGTAACTAACTGTTGTAACAGCTCAAACTTTTTTTTTTTACAGACATTGTTGAAAGATCCTTTGTATATTGGGCTGAGACACAAGAGAATTAGAGGTCAAGCCTATGATGATCTTCTTGATGAATTCATGGAAGCTGTGACTTCAAGGTAAGTGGTGTATCTGTGCTGGTCCTTGATGAATTCCCTGTGAACTTCATCTTGCCAGAAATAAAGGTCGGTAGCTTAAGAAAGGAAGACAGAGTTGTTAAGTTCCAAATAATTTTTATTTTGAGCATAGGTTTTTATGAGTTTATACCTGCCTTAACTATTTACCTTGAATATTGCAGATACATGAATTCACCGTTTGAGTGAAAAAACTCATCTTGAGATGAGAGAACTCATTTTTCAAACTTCTTTTTCAAGATTTGGATTGCTAAGTATTTGCCTAAAAATTCTTTATGCATAGTACTGTGCCTACATGATCTTCTTTGTCTCTGTGATTTCATATGTGAGATGTCACCAGCCCTAAAGAAGATCTCATACTTGGCAACGACTGCCTCTGCTCCCTCCAGAACCCCAACAGGACTAAGCTTTCAATGTTTTAATTTTAAATGTTATGGTATGGACCAATACGAAGTCAGCTCTTTCACTTGCTTCTTTTTTCCTACACAGAAAGTAGTTAAATATATTATTAGACCGTGATCCGTAAAATGGATCTCATTACATGTCAAATAAAGTTTGTTCATATTTTCCTTGTTTGTTAAAATATTTGTAGTTCTAGCCTTGCATTCAATGTATATACCTAAAACGGCTCACATCCCAAGATCCTTAGCAGAATATGTTTTCTGCATCTGCATCCCAAAGCTGAGGCTGAACTGTGGAACTGGAAATACTTTCCAGCTCTTCAGTCGTGCCTTGTGCCCCTCAACATTCTGACTCCATGTTGTGACTTTACCTCAACATGCAAACCCTCTGTTTTCCCTGACTTGGTTGCTGCGCAAAACAAACTTGGCCAAGCAGGAGGTATTAATTTCCATGCCTGAAACACATATTCCTTTATGTATTACTATACTCTTCCCCATCATCCCCAGTTATCTGCCACTCCCTTGTTGATGATATTCCTATGAAAGTTGCTAGTTTGGCTCTACCCTGTAACATGTTTCCTCTTTTGCTGAATATTCCATTTCAGATAAAATTGATGCACCTTTCTAATAGATTCACCTCCCTAAAAGAAGGTTTAGAGCATTAAGAAATTGCTCTGCGGTCTGTGTTTTGGGAATCTCTAACATAATGCATTCCCTAACTCACCCTTTCTTTAAAATGAACCACCATTCTTCATACTGAAGGAAATCATCAGTCAAGCAGAAGATTATCTCAGTAATGCTTTAAGGTCTGGTTGACATGTTCTTTTTACTTAAATGTCTTTAAAGTTCTGTAATTTTGGGCAATTTTGAGCACTTTGTGTGTGCTTGACCTTCTGAAAGATCACTTTGTTCTCAGCTAAATCTCTCAAGGTCAGCAATGGTGTAATTTATTTCATGTTTGAAGTGGGGCACTTAAAAATTATAATTCAGACTTGGTGTGGTTTACTTATGAACTGTGTTGGCTGTAGTGTGACATCTATTTTGATTATGATACTTGTTTTCTAAGGTGATGGGAAAAGTGATGTAGTTAAGTCAAAATCTAGTCCATTTGCTTAATAATTTCATATGTTCCTAAATTTGAATTTGTGTTTAATGTACTGCTGGCAGACTCAGCACTTGCAGCTAATTCTGGCATAGCAGGTCTGACTGTTGAAGATGCAGGTCATGATTCCCTTGCCAGTCATTGTGGTGATCTAGGTAATTGTATACTTTGGTTAAATAACAGTTATTTTTTCCTTGTGAAAGTTTCTATTATGTTTTTCCTCTTTTCGCTTTTCTTAGCCTTCTACTGGCTGTTTCACTGAAGGAGTATTTGCTTTGCTAATCTTAGATGCGTGTTTGGTCTGTTAAATTTTAGGTTAGTCATATTTATAGTTAGTTATTGCCATAGTGCTCCAAAAGAAGCTTTCTTAATTAGCATTGCCTAATCAATTCCTGGAATGGAAGAAGTTCTGCAGAAATCTGTTGTATTTTCAGTCCATCTCCAAGACATACATAACCATGAACGTTCTAAAGCACAAGGCTGTCATATATTTTTAATAAGTCTAAGTTAAAGACACGGTGATGACAGATATTTTCAAGTTGGAAAACTATGTGAAATACCTACTTTAGATCTTTTTCACCTCCATAATTCTCCAGAGAGGCCAAATGCTATTAGAAGTGAGAGCCAGATTTTAGCAGCACTGCCTGGGAGCTACAAGGAGTAGGCAGCTGTACAGGGCGGTGCACTTTGTACAGGCTTTTCATTATCTTCCAGGGAATTTTCCTAGACAGGAACATCATCTTGATTGATTGTTAGATTTTGAAAAACCTAGATTTTTATAAGCTGTTGCAGCATAATTTATAGTGTTTCATGTTGAAACGTCACCTTAATACAGTAAATGCCATAATGTTTAATAAAGAAAATGCTTTATAAAAAGGTATAGTTTCATCAACTGTAATACTTCCCTCTTCTCAGCCTCCACTGTTATTCACCTGCAGAAAGATCTTCTTATGAAACAAAATTATTTATAGAAGAGTCTGGATTAAAAAAAAAACAAAGCAAAAAGCAAACCAACAAACCCACAACCTAAACTATCCATTACTAAAAGATTTTGGAACAGTATCTAGTGCACTATCATGGCAGAATGGAACTAGTACATTGTGATTTTTCCCAGATGTGGGAAGGCAGAAGCATATGGAAAGTATCTGGATTTCTCTTGACATGAATCCAGTGAACAGCTTTTATTTATTTACTTATGTATACATTTATCTGTTTATTTATTTATTACCAGTGCCAGCAGCTGCTCTCTCTGAGGGGCATGTACTGTAATTCCTCTGGACATTACCAGGTGTTTCTTGCCCTTGTGTCAGTGTGGTAATTTAGGGGAACAGGAATATTCTAAATGGAAAGAATGTTTTGCTACATAAGGTAAAAAATGGACAGTTGTCTCCATCAGTGAAGAACATAAACTGGAATTCAGAAACATTTGTTAAGTTCCTATACAAACAAGTAAATTTTTCCAAATTACAAGTTGTTCTTAAATATCTGTGTTTACAGAGGAAACTCTGAGAGAAGGGATTTCTAAACAGCACTTTGGTAGCTGGTATTGATCTACCAAGGCCTCCTGTGTAACCAGAGAAAATAAATTTATGTTCTTATTCCAGTTCTTCTTTCTTCCCTACTTGACTGTGATGATGCAAAGAGAAATATATCAATTACCAAGAGGTATTCATGTACAGTAGTGAAGGGGTTATGGAAATGCTTGAGGGGAAAATATGTAGAATGGAGATGGAACAAGAAATTATAGAAGAGGAAAAAAATAGCTTTTCAATAAGAGGGACTTGAATTGTCTAATGCAAGAAATAGATTTAAAGGGGATGGAATTTTTTTTTCCATATTTCAAATGATATTTCATTTTCACAAATCTGGTAAAAATAACTCCACCCTCAACCCCTCCAAAAAATGTCAGAGCAGGGAAGAACAGCATCGTACCAGCTTGCTTTCTGCTGCAAGTCGTCTCCAGTGGAAGCTGTTGTACATTGGGCAGGGACAATACTGACTTGCACCTCTGGCCTGTGAAAAGATAGAAAACTTAGAAAATGGAAAGAATCTGACAGAATTCCTGTAGTTTGTTTCCTTGCCTACCTACCACAGCCCCAAGGAGCTGGGTGGAATTATTATTCTGTTGTGAGCTAAACCCCGTGGATTTGCGTTGTGTAAAAGAAACCCTGTATCACTGAAATAATCTTTCTGTGTGTGTGATGGTAAGTTTTCAGTTTCACTTCAAGATGCAAATAATAGTTGTGGACCCTTGAAAAGTAATACCATGTGTTGTCTACATTCTCTTCTGTAATCATATTTTGATTAAATCCTTCCCTGCTCTTTTTATATGCTGTGCTTTTCTCACGTTTGTGAGTTATAAACCAAGCTGCTGACAATTGTAATTCACTATGTTCCATCCTAAATTACCATGATGTAGTCATTATTCCTCATTTGGCTGATTACATTATTCACAGATGGTAGCAGTGTTTCATTTCACTTCGTGTGTTACTTTAAAACAGCGTTTAATGGTAAATATGGCTTAGCTAGCTTTGAGAACAACTGTAAAAGCAACGTATCCACAAAATACAAAAATCTTTTAATAGATGCTTTCATTTAGTAGATTGCATTAGAATATAGTTCGATTTGTGAATAAATAAATTCAAACAGCCCTTACTTTTGGTGAGAGAATGTACTAGTGGGAAGTCAACTTAAAAGGTGCATCATTAAGGGAGCAGTTGGACCACACAGTGGTTCTGACAGTATGTTCAAGCACAGATCACGACTACAAGAACGTTTGTGCCTCTATCCTCTTTTACTCTGTAGTGGTGCAAGACCAAGACCTATGTCATGCCTGTACGTTCTCATACTGATCAAGTGAAAGTGGCTGTCAGAATGCGTGTAGGAAGAAATGCTACTGCAACAACTCCCTCCTATGGCAGACTTTGTGAAGATATTTCTGTTTATAGATTTTGTTGCTCAGTGGGACTTAAGTCCTTTGAGGTAATTTTTCAAGTCTATGACTACCTGCTCCTTCCATCCTTCAGTGGACATTAACTTCCTAGTGAAGATCCCTGTTTACAGCAGGATAGGAGAAAGGTGGGTCCTTAGGCAGAAGCCCCTAGACTGCCTTGACTACAGCTACAAGTGCTCTTTGAACCTACCGCCTCAGTTCCTTCCCATTTTACATCTGAGATTGATTTCCAGTAATTGATGGGCTTTCATTCTTCCTGAAATTGCTTAGACCCAAGTTTCATTGCCCACCTAGACTCCCAGGTGGACTTTGCTTTTATACTTATGGGGTAAAATGATTCAGGAGGATCCTTACGGTTTTTGACTCTTAAAAAAGGCCCTTGAACTACAAAAAAACCCCACATTGTGGTTTTAAAACAGGGACTATTGCTTTGGATAATGGAGGGTGCTGTGGAAGAGAAAAATTCAGTTTTGTAATCAGGGTTCATTTTTTTAATCCTAGTTCAAGTAACTGTGATGTCCTGCCTGAG